TCTTTTTTTCCTCCTAATTTCTCACAGCTGGTCATTCAATATGCAAAGCTTGCTAAATGTAATTATATTGTACACCTTCTTATCAACTAAATTACACCCACCCCCACCCCCCAAAAGAAGAAAAAAAAAAAAATATATCAAGGAATGAAAATGCTGACCCTTTACTCCAGAAAGGTTGTGCCTTGGCATTGCTGCCCCCTGCATTACTGGCAAGATTTTTGTTTATTTCTTTATTGAATTATGACAAGGTTAATTTCAGAAAACCACAAGTAATTCCAAAGAAGCCTAATGACTACAGGCCTGTAAATACTTGTCAAGATTTAACATTTATTTTTTGGCAGTGGTGTCTTATACTATTATGAAGAGATCCAGAGCCTACCGAAGACATTGAGAGTTTGAGACATTGCATAGCTGGGCACTTCCCACACCGGGGCACCCAGACTTTGAGTTTTTCATAATATCATCGTATTGGAGCTTAAAGACCTTTGCCATACGCTAGAATTGTTAAAGTGATCTGATGAGCACCATCCAACCCCCTACATATAGTATGTCAAAATCCCAGCTGGAATACAGTTGTGGGTAGCAGCGAGGTCAGCGAAGGCCTGGACAGAGACTGATTTATCTTTTCATTCCCAGAATGAGGCACTCAGCTGAACTCTAAAAAGTAGCCTGAACCCTTTCTGATCAGCTGCCCCAGAAACTTTCTTATGAATCCAAATGAAAACTTAAAAACCAGTTTAAAAATATATGTTTACCTATTCCAACACTACTGAAGTTTCACCAAAGTTTCAGGGCCATTTCTTTGCTCGAACTCCAGATGAGCTGCATTTCCTATGAGTTCCAGTTCTGAACCTGAACTTGCACCTTTACAAGCCTATCCAGCGCAAGATGAAAGTATTCAGCTAAGTAGCTGCATACCTCCTACACAGCACACCTTACAGTGAGTCAACCACACCAAAATGATTACGTAATTTAATCACACTTTTGGATTATCTCTTTAAAATCAGGATGTGCTTTTAGAGACTGGAAGCCCCATAAAGCCTTCAAAGGATTGCCACAAGTCCAACACTTGTTACATGGATAGCACACATTGTTTTGTCTTCTTCTAGAACTGGGAAGACTTACCAGGTAAAGAATTTCAAAAGAATTGCAGGTATCTTCCATTTTGGATACCTAAATCCAAATCTTTAAAAAAAAAAAAAATCTATTTCTAGCAAATATTAAATATCCACATTCTCTCACAACAGATACAGTTTAACCCAATACCTTGTTTGTAAACAAAAAGCTCCACTCTTGCATAACAGAGCTTATTTTTATGCATTCTGTTTCAATTTATAAAATCAGGTTTAGAAAATTATGCCTTTTATTGGAAATAGCTAGACTTATTATTTTTTAACAGCACAACTATTTATTCCCTAATGCTATTATTAAAAGGACAAGCTTACTCTGTGTAGAATCTGCAATCCAGTTAAAATACATCATTACTACAGATAAGGGTGTGCTTTTCCACATGTTCCCAACTAAAACTCTGTTTCAGGTTACTGACTCAAACCCATTTAATAAAAGATGGTAAAGACTTGATTTATTGCTCAAGTCTCTCTTAATCACACCCTCTGAAAAAGCTAGAATTAAATTAATTTAATTTTAACCCTCTAATCATTTATACTATTTAGTTTCTGAAGGGGAAAAATAGACTACTTCAAAAACCACACTTCCCCTAGCAATGCATGGACCACAAGGCAGATGACAAGTAAGTTCATTAAACTCCATTATTTCAAATTAGGTTGCAGAATCATAGGAGCAGAGGCTATGGCACAGAGCCATATGCAGCGAGGGCCAGACAAACAGAAATGCCCATGAAGTGCAGAAAAAATAATTCTGGTTCTCGAATTGAGCTAATAAGGAAGCTGCTTTGCATCATAGGTAAGTCAAAATTGCTGACAGCAAACACAGCAGTTCCCTCTCCCCCAACAGGATGCTATGGATGCCTGTCTCCGTCCCTCGCGTAATTATGCAGACATGTTACTTATCCACCAGGAATATTTTCTGAAACCCAAGCAGATCTGAAACAAGGGCTCTGCAACCAGAGAAATACCCAGTTCTGGCACAAGGAAAGCAGTGGGTGCTTGTGGCTGGGGAGGGAGAAGACATGGGAATCACCCTGATGGTGGTCTGGTTGGCTTAACCATAGCAAACTGCACCCTAAAATTCACCTCTGAGAAGGCCTACTTAGGTCAAGTCCAACACCACAACACTATGCGGGTCCAGGTTCCAGATTCAAGACCTGTATGCTCATTCTGTTACAAAACAAATTAAAACAAAAAGTTTCATGTGTTGCAGACATAACTTGGTGTGTTTACTTTGCAAAGCTAAATAGTAAAATTTAAAGGAAAGTCAGACATTAGTGGACATAGCACAGTATTCCCGAATTCTGGCAAAGTGCTTAAACTGAGTCTGCTGAAATTTCTTTCACAAAAAGCTTTTCCCTTCACACATGCACTGTGTATTATTTCCTCAGGTCAATTTTTGTGCCTCTTATAAAACAAAATGGACAGGCAATTCATCATTTACATGCTTCTATGAAAATCATTACTAACTTCCCCATTAAGAAAAAAAAAAAATCAATGAACATCTGAATTTGTCATAAAAGTAGCTGTATCCTTAGCACAATTCATTCTTCATTTCAAACTAAGATGGATGGATTCAGATGGATTGATCTAATATGTTTATTTCAGTAAAGGTATTTAACAGACTTCATAAAGGTACTCATGCTAAAAGTGCAACCTACTTCCTCCCTTCTGCTCTACAGTTTTCTTCTTCATATGCAATACAATAATCCCATGCCACATCAATTTCTAACACTGTACACTATTTCTCATCAAAAATTTACAGCAGGACATGCTTTTGAAGTTGTTTTTGCTTCATACTATGAGCCTCTGAACATCTGGAGCAGCATTCAGCAGTCATTAGTGCCATACTTCTCATTAAGGTCTAGATGGTAAGAGAACAATGAGAAGAAAAACATTGCCAAATCACTGCAAAAGAGGACTCATTTTTACAGTTACTACTGCAGATTTGTCCCAAATCAGAACAGCCATTATAAGGTCAAGGAGATTCAAGTTCCAGAAAAGAAACTGCATCACTAACTTGTCCTGGTTTCGGCAGGGATAGAGTTAATTTCCTTCCTAGTAGCTGGTACAGTGCTGTGTTTTGGATTTAGGATCAGAACAATGTTGATAATGCACCGATGTTTTAGTTGTTGCTAGGTAATGCTTACACTAGTCAAGGACTTTTCAGCTTCCCATGCTCTACCGACTGAGAAGGCTGGAGGTGCACAAGAAGCTGGGAGGGGGCACAGCCAGGACAGCTGACCCAAACTGGCCAAAGGGATATAACTGAACACCAAGAAATCTAAATAAAAGTATTTAATGTATATATTTACACATTATCTATATTTATACATATTATTTAATATATATAAATCTGTTCATCTGTTAGTCTGTGCCACATCCAACAGATCATGTTGTATTTTTGTGTGTACAGATCCATTTTATTTCACTGTGAGATCGCCTGAAAGATATTTGCATAGAAGTCTTTCAAACTACATAATCAATGGCATCAGAAATCGACAATATACGACACATGAAAGGCATATTTCCACAGCTACTGTGTCACTTTTTTTATTGTGAACCAATAACAGCTACAAACCAAACCAATATTTAAAACATCTCCACTTTTAGACAGACTGTGCAGCTGTGACAATTGCCTTTCCAACAGGTGTTTTCAGCAGCAAACTAAGGAATTTTGAGATCCACACAGATCTGTTTTCATTTATTAATATGCCCCTTCCCATCTTCTCCAGTAAACAGAAACCACATACTTAGGTGATTAACTGATTTATAATCCACAAAGGTACGGACATTTATGAAGCAAGTCAGGAACTAAGATGGAAACAATACCTGTGAGGCATTTACATTTAGTTCAAAAGTGTTATTCTGCTAAAAGAGCAAGCATTGCAAATTAAAGCATTTACTATATAGATAGTAATCCGACTGCTGTTGCTTTTCAAAGCATCACTCAGAAACACAACATTGCACCTAAAAATTGTATGTGCAAGCTCAAGCACCTAAAAAAGAATAAATATTATATAGGTTACACTCCTTAACCCAGTCCTTTGTACCTATATGTTATGACACAGAGTATTTTATCCCTATAGAACTCTTTTCCCATTCATAGTATAGTTGAAGGCTCATCACTAGGCATCTCAATCTGTGGTTGCAGAGGGCGTGAACTGATTTCTTGCTCAATCAAAACTTCCGTGAATTCAATAGTATTATTTCCTTGTGGACTTCCACTATAACATCTAAGATAAAGAGCTAGATACAGCCATAAATGAGCATGTATAAGCTGGGGTTACAATTCCCATAGCCTTAGCAGTAAATATTCTCCTGCAGTTCTGTATGTGATTGAGTTGGGTCTCTAATGATTATGACACACTCTCTATTTCTGCTGATTTATATGACATATACCTGGTACTACTTTGTGCTGACATACACCTGAACAATTTTTTGATAAACATATACAGGCACTCCAGAAACCTGACCCATTACACACTTGTGCTACTATGAATTAAATTACCCATTTCTGTATTACATTTTTGCTCTCCTAGCAACTGACTGCTAGTCGAAGAACCACATTTTGATCTCTAGCACTGCACACTGCTAACAAAAAGCAACAACTTGAATCCTTACCCCAAAACCTGAAAACCCAATTACCACACCAGGGCATCAAAATGAACAAACCTCCCCGGCTCAGCAGCACATTCCCTGGCTTTCCCGAATCCAACTGTATGCAGACAAAAGGAAAATAGTGGTAAAAAAGAGCAAGCCCAAAATGACCTGTAACCCTCCTGAATCCACTCCTGCTTTTGCACTTATGACTGACTGACAGGGAGGTAATTAACAACCTCCTCGCACTGTTACATACCAGTCACAGCTCACTGTCAGTTTTTCCAAATCTTTTGGCAAGGCAGTTCTTTGCCCGTAAGCTGGTGCCTTCTGCAGGACTTGCTGCTCCCGAGGAAAGGTGCTGCACTGTTGCAATGCCCGGGCTGTTCTCCAGCCAATTCATCCAGTGATGTTAACAGTGAGCTCACCCTAAAGTTTACTTTTCAGTCTTGTAGCCTTTCTCTGCCATAAGTACAAAATGTTTTCCATGCCATCTGCTCAACTATGATATAAGCAGGGTCAGCACAACGTTATATCAAAGTAATTTACACCTATTCATGCTGACTCACCAATAAATACACATCAGTACTAAGATGAAACTGTCTACAGAGTTTCTAAGGTGTATAAGCATTACTGAGAGGCTTCCCTAGCTATACTGCATGTGTAACTGCCAACCACATCATATAATAAAAGGATTTACCAGCTACCATTTGCTCAAGCTACCATAGAAGCATAACACTTAAGGCTAGTTAAACTGTCATTATGCTGTAGCAATCCTAGTTTTAAGAGCTCAGCTCCACAGCCTTGTAACAGGTTGCTTTTCTATTAAAAAAAAAAGAGTAATAAAGGAGAAGTTGTCAGTCTTCTCTTGAATAACTGAACCAAGATGCTGTATTAGTCGTGGGGAGAGGGGGCTGGTTCGTTGCGTTTTTAAAATTTGAGTTTCAAAATTCTCTTTCCTTGTGAAATTTCAGGATTTACCACAACGGCCAGACTATGAATTCAGCTTTCTGATCAGCCCTACCTGTCATCACCCTTCAATGACACTCACAGGGCATATTTGGATACTTAGCTGTGGCTTCTGTATGATCCACTCTTGCACTTGCTTCTGAGGGATGCCTGCCTCAGCAGGGTACAAGAGAGAGAGGTTGATGAGGAGTCAAAAGACAGAGCTGCATTAATGCAAGAAAATAAATGGTCAGAACTCAAGGAGGGACTAACGAAAGGGAACAGGAGGAGAGAGCAATTCATTCTGGGGGAGAACAGACTGTTTGCTATTTTAAATTTCATGGGAAGTTAAGAATTTTCCCTCAAAATTAAATGGGTTTTTTTTTCCCAATACAACAGTACTGCTACACCAATTCCCTTTCAACAAGAGTAGTCCTCTTATAATAAAAAATATGAAATAAAAACCCACTAAATAATCTTTATAATGCAAAACATTGCATTTTGCTGAAACATTTCATTTCCCCGAAACATTTCATTTCCCCTCTACTACTCCCCAGAAAAATATAAACTGTAAAATGATGCATAATTGAGAAGTACAGTGTTTTAGGTTTTCCCTACTTTTATTTGCAACTATTTCTCATAAAATTGCAAATAAAACATAACATTTTGATCATATAAGGCTGTATTCTGCCTATTACTGACCAAGGATGAGCAGCTGCTTAAAATACAGTTTGCATATACTCATAAAACATTTAAAACAAAAGTGCTGACAGACCCTTAACAACAACAGTCCCCCTAAACAGCTCTCATATAAATTCGTCTGTTTAATAAGAACGTCATCTAATAAGCAGGTCAGAGAACTGCAAAGCAAACAGGATAGCTCTGCTGCTGCAACTACTCCCCAGACAGTACTCTCATCACATACAAGATAACCACTATGCTATATATACATTTATTATAAAATAAGTCATTTTAGCTGTACATTTTCCAGATAGCGAATACTGCTGTAATTTCTCCTTTAAAAATAAATTAGTTTGTTAAAGCCATACCCTTGAACGTGAACACTGCATACCCCTGGACTGTCTGAAAATGGAACCTTCCTTATTTCTGTATCTGTGATTATTACAGCAAAATAGACCTGTGTACATACAGGAGAAGGGAAGAAGGATCAGAACTGTCGCCCAAAAGGGACATAATGATTGACTGATTATCAGTAGAGTTATGGTCCAAATTATGCTCCTAAAGCACATTCAGCAAAAGTCTTTTTTGGAGGTTTTTTATTTCAGGTTTTTTTAAAAAAAAAAAAAAAGAAAAATACCACTTTTGCTCTGTTCTTACCTGAAAGGGCCTGGAGAAATATCCATGCAGCTACAATGGCCTCATGCTGTGGGCACATCTCCAGCCACAGGAGGATTTCACAAAGCCACACTGCCAGCCTGGCAACGATCACCCGTGGCTGTGAGACGCCTCCCACCAGCGGCACAGCCTCAGGCACAACCTGGAGGAACTTCACTAGCCAAATTCATGCCTCCAGCCACAAGACCCCCAACACAAATTCTGGCCCACCTGGCAATCAGACTACCATACCCCATGATGGACTGCGAGTCTGGGCCTCTACTTGGTCAGGAGGAGAGAAGGATCTTCCCTGGAGCAAAAATGGGGACACCGTTTCTGGCATATACCCAGGTCTTCCTAAATGCATCAAGATTACTTCAGCTGGACCCAGGGTATTCCTGGGATGAAAGCAAGAGGCACACACCAAGGGCCGGACAGGTTTTCATAAGGTGTGTCTAGCCCAAATCCAGCCCAACAGGCAACCCTCTCCATCCTAATGACCGCTGGACTGCACAGCCCACACAGGACACAACCCTCGTGGAGTACAAAGTAGAAAAGGGAACCCACATCATCCTTGCCAGCAGTCACAGACACTGAGCCAGACGATCCAGCCACAACAGTCAGGGAACAGAAAAGAGCAAGTGCTATTTTCACATTAGCAATATTTCTGACCAGAGAAGGGAAAGGAAAAAGGCAGAGACTCATGCAAACAGTCAGACTGCCTGCTTTTGCTTGTGAAGACGCCAGGGAGGATGGGGAAGGAGCGTCTGGAAGCTGGGGAGAGCAGCCAAGAGTCTCAAAAGAGGCTTAGTATTTGGAATGGGCATCCTGGCCACAACAGCACACACAAGGCAGACTTGAGAAAGCTGTATCTGCTGAGGCCATGCCCAAGACCATATTATCTGATTACTGTTCCGGTAACAGCTTATTTTAAGCACATCAGTTTTCAAAACCTGTAGAAACTATATCACAGGTATAGATAACACAAACATAATTTTATCTTTTCTTTCGTATAGTAGGAGAACACATCGATACCAATTTTCTTTAAGACTTTTTGCACATCACATTTGACCATATTTATGTTGCTTACAGGTACATGTAAATGTTGTAAGACAGGTGGCATGCCGCAAAGAAAAAAAAATTGCATGTCAACAAGTTACTTCTAAGACATTAGAAAACTTCTAAACTTCTTCCTGACATAACAGTGGCCTTACTAAGAGAACCCAAATATTTTTAAACAAATGGTAAGTTATCAGTCACTGCTGCCACTTGCGGCTGATGCTGAATCATTCTAAACAGCAAAGATTTGCAAAGTTACAAGTGTTCACATAAATACTACAAAACTTTGCCATCTGTAATTACTTTTCTAAGTCTTGATATTTTTGTTCTTTCATCTTTTTGGTATCTGCCAGCTCTATCAAATTCTCAGAATCTTCTGCAGCTATGAAATTCTTTGCTACCTCTATGGCCTATTACCAAAACCAGTCCTGAATCCACCAGCTTTCCACACCCCATTATGTTATTACTCCTTGTTACTGCACACCAATTTCCCTGGTTCTCTTCCATTCTCTGACAACTGATTTTAACATGGAAAGGTACATGGCTGAATATATGGCAAATTAAATAGCATTTCTAGCTCTCAGACTAATTTCAGGCAAGAAAATTTCTTTGGATTTCCTTTCTATCATACATAATGCCACTGCATCTGATAATTCAATTATCTCACAGGAACAAAAAGAGAACATAAATCAAGTATTTGAAATCCAGTACTAAAAGCTACTTCTAAACCACATTATTGTTACTCAAGTTCACCTCAGAGTAAGGAAGTATCTTTAAGAGACTAAAACTTGTCAGAGTAGTGAATTTACCTCTGTAACATTCTTGCTTACCAGTTTCACGTTGTCTGCCACTGAAATAACAATGGACACAAAGAAGGCTATTAGGTAGTTCTGGAGTAGAACTTGGCATCTGGCTTTACCCATTCATTCAGAATTTCCCATAATATTGATGGAGCTGCCATTATGGCTCCCATCCACAACTCCACATACCACATTGGCATCAACCCATGACAGATCACATTACTACTTAAGTAATGGTATTTTTTGCAGAACCACAGATTATATTGCTCCAGTTATGCTTCTCTTTGCAGTAGTTTCAATCATAACCCTGACATCATGGGGCTGTCAGTCGAGCCTGTCCAGCTTATGGCTCTAACATTGCTAGCACCTTTCATCCTACCTTAGCAACCTAGCAAACGCATCAGGCAAAACAAATGATAATGGGATTTAGAGATTAGCAATTCTTCCAGTTACTGTTGAACCACTGCTGGTTAGGGCAAGACAATGAAAACAGACTAAGCCTGTTTAAACAGGCATGGTGATTAATAGAGACAGCCAGACACCTTAAGCCACTATGCCTGCCTACTGGCTTTATTCAACACTGGTGGCAAACAGACTCTCGCCTGCTCAGAAATACCAGGTGAGAGTTATTAAAATACAAACATTCACATCAGCCCATCACAGAATTTTTGCTTTTTTGACTGACTAGGGAAAACAAACAAACAAAAAGCCAAACAGCTGAACTCTCACAACACCTACAGAACAAGAAGTGTTCTGGCCTTACGGCCTTTTCTGACAGTCTTTCATAAGCTCTCACTTTAGACAAAGCATTTAATTTACTATCATTTCATACTTCATGTTCTCTGAGAATAAGGCCTCAAAAGGATATGGAAGATTCAGGAAAAGAAATTTTCTTTCATTATGTGTCTCCATCTTGGATATGATCTTCCAGACCTCTGGCACTGAAGCTAACTCACTCCTCAAGTAAACCAAGACTTTAGCCCTTTCCTCACACAAGCACTTTTGATGCAAAGGAGCAAACAGGGACTCATGGAATAAAATTAGGGACCAACTCTATAAATTATTGTTCCCAAGAGTGCTGTACTTTTCCCCCATAAAAAAGGCAAGTTTCCCCTTTTAAAAGTAAATATTCTTTTAAAAAGATGAAAACAAAATATTTGCTATATTTCATCTTTTTAAAAGATGAAAATAAAATAATATTTGCTTTTTTTTAAACTATACTAAATTATGGATTGATTCAAATATAAAAGTCAAAGCATGC